GGACGAGCTGAATCTGCCTGTCTGGGATAATCACACAAGCAATGGTAAATAAAGTGTTCTTCTGCCTCAACACGTTTCATAGGACTATTAACAAACTCTCAGAAGGTCTGGGTTCAAGAGATGAGATATCTTTGAAGATTTGGTCTAAGCAATGACGTCTCTTTACCCTCCTATCTGTCTGTGGGTGACAGACCAGCCTCCCAGAAATTGCTCTTCCCCACATTCCCAGAATCTCTGCCCAGACTTGGGCGAGACCTGGCATCAGCTTCTTGCTCAATCACAGCCTGCAGAGCCATATTACAGAGTATCTCTTTTGTTAGTCTTCATTTCCAGAGGAAGGACAGCAAAAATGACTGATGAAACACAAGGAAATTATGTGGGAAGGCAAAAGAAATAGTAGGTAAAAATGCAATTTCTGTAGGCTGTAGGGTGAAATCAGAAAAGAATACTTGGAACCTGTGCACTCTGCTAAGAACATGAATATGTCTCTTGGACTCGTTCCTTCCTTCAGTCATCAAGGAGAGCTGGTATGATCTGTGCCCAGAGAGCCACTGGGAGAATTTGGGGGTTAGCTCTGTGCAGGGAAGGTTCATCTCTGCTGTCTGCTACGGGCTCCAGCCAGCACAAATGGTCCATGGGCTAGAGCTCCTTATCACTGCTACTCTGTGTCACACCAATATGCCCATGGAAAATCAATACCCTTTTTACCCTTTTCTAGGAACACTAAATTACCAAAGCCTGAGGATCTTCTCACTGGTTTTGAGTAGTAACTAAGGAGTGTTATATTCACTGTGTATATAATTACTGTGCCTGTATGTAATTACTGTGCCTGTATGTAATCACTGTGCCATGGACAGAGAACAGCCTCGGTAGTTTGGGGTCACTGCAAGAAGAGCACGTGGTGGTTCCAGTGTTTGCAGTGCTGCAGATCCAGCGTGGCTTTCCAGCCCCAACCAGCCCTGGATGTGGGTGCACTGGAGAGAGGCATCACTGAGATTCATCAACTAAAACTGCTCCCCACAGAGTGAAGTCATGCTTTCCAAATATTTGTGTCCTCTTGTTTTGGTTGCTTTCTTCCCCCCCATAGCTGCTGGGCTAAACTATGCAAGGGAAAAAATAGATTTCTTTCTTTAACAAAAAGCTTAATTATTTCCTTTTTTTTCTAGATTTTGTTGCAGAAGTGTAACTTTCTGTTAAGAGCTGAATTTTACAATGTAATAAATTGATACAGTGGCATGTAAACAAGCTGTGTAAATACATGTGCAGAGCCATGCCTTTTACAGGGCAAAGAAGAATTTGCACAGAAGTGGTTTTCTGCAGAAATAATAATTTGCACAGTGTTACGCATTAGTACAATAAATGATATTGCAAGGTCTGAATTTACTGACAGCAGGTTGTGTACTTTGAGTACTATGTTTTGCTCGAATTAAAACTCAAAAAATATTTACTGGCTACAAAAATCCAGTTATTAGGCCAGAAAGAGCTCCTAACTTCGTACTAATCTGAGAAGAAATCCATTAAATGCCCAGTGTATCTTTTTACTCAGTCCCTGAGAAAAAGAATTGTTGAATTGATAAATGCCACTCATGGCCCTGGTCCAGCTCAGCTCTGGTTTTCCTGGGTGGAATGGTGATGTGGAGCACTTGTTTGATGAGTCTGAAGGGTTGGTGGATAGTACAATTGCAGCAGAAGTGGCAGTAATATAAATTTCTATCTATTAGGCCTGTCAGTATTTGCTGCTTCAGTGGAAGTAATTTTTGGGCTCGGCTCTGTCTCCCTGACATGGACAGGTCTGATGCTGGCAGGAATTTTTTTTGGGAGTGTGTGTGGTGGTGTTTCACTTGCAGCCTGTGCAAAAGCAGGTGAGAGGGACCTCAGAGAGGCACAGGCTGATTTCAGCTAGGCACAAATTACTTGCTACCAGGGGTGGTACAAATCCTCCTTACTCAGAAGGGGTAAGTCCCTGTGGGAGCAGGAGAAACCACCCGAGTACTCTCACCTAAGTACGAAGCCCGATTCTTGGTTTGATTTGTGTCTTTTTCTCCTTTTCCTTTAGATGAAGATTGTTCTTACAGGTACCTAAGCTTCCTTCCAACAGACAAAAAAGAGCAAACACTTCTAGGAAAGCAGCCTAATTATGTGGGGTTTTTAAACAGCCAGGAGGAAAAGGTAGCTTGAAAACCAAAATATCTTGGAGGCCCCTTCTGCATCCATAGCATATTTGATAAATTGACTTTTGCTTCCAGGGCACACATTCAGCATCTTCATTAGTATAATGATCCTTGGTCTTCTCTTCCCAAACTTAGATAATTTGAATAAAAAAACAAGTTTTATGAAATGTAGCCATTAATAGAGTCAATAAATTTTAAGCTGTGATTACATATCACTTGCAGCCATCCCATCCCTTTCGGCTGTAGATCAAAATATATTCAGCATTCTTAAAATACACTGTCCATTGTCTGTTTGACAAGAATAATCCAGTGTGCTGGTGAGTACCAAGGTGACCTGAAAGTTTTTCTAGTACATAATCTCCTCTTATTCTGTATTATGTATGAACTCAGAGACAGAATATCTGCATTATCTTAAATAAACTAGGTAAAATGTATTTCAAAAAGCTTCTTGAGTCAAAAAGTAGCAAATCATTGTATGTATTTCCATATTTGTATAGTTTCATTATATTCTTGTTCTAAGTTACTTTTAAGTCTCTTTCATATTTAAAAAATGAACTACACACCTATCATGCAAAATGTAAAGAAGTATGTTCAACTAGTTCAAATTAGATATACAGTAAAAATACACTTCCAAAGAAATATCATTTCCATTTTTGTTCATGTTTTTAACAGAATTTCAGACTAATACATCAAATGTGGAACTGTACAAGAATGTGAAGAAACATTAGGATTGCAGTAGTAAAAAAATGTACAGCATTCAAAACCAACAAGCTCTAAACAACCAAACAATACCACAGGATTGAAACAGTCATGGGGACAACATAGGTCATTGGAGCCAGAGTGAATCCTAATGCACCTACATAAAGACCCTACATAGAATATTGTCTCTTATTTATATGCAAAATCCCTGATTTGATTAAACCAGACAATTTCTCTAATTGTCTCGTATAGGTTTCAGATAAGATTAACATGAGAGTATTCCCCTCCATGAAGGTCAGGTGTTTGAAAAGGCAATATTGAGAATTGATTTGAAAGGTATTTCCATCCACATGGATTCAGGTAGTTAAGATACAAGATCACAAATAATAGCAGTACAATTTTAAAGAACCACTGGAATTGTTCTCTGCTACATTTGTAACACTTCAGATTTCAAGATTCAGTATTTTTGAACTGTTCACAGGTTAATACACAGGGTTTTAATTATGGGCTGTAACCATTTAACAGTGGACCAAAATTGCCTTTTAAATCAAGAAAGATCCAGCTTACCATGTAAAAAGAAAAAAAAAATCTCCAAGGTGATTGACAGTGAACAAAATGTTACAAACAGCAGAATCTCATGTCAGAACAGCTTTGAAAGGCAGATATGTACCTGTTACAGTTCACCAACCAGCACAACATCCTTATCAGACATTTGGATTACGAGGAAAAATGTCCTGGATAAACCTGTAACATTTATAAATTCAACAAAAATCATCTTTTTTAATGTCTCATCACTGTGTATAAACTCAACAGACCCTGCCACCCGTGGGTTTGGTGACCAGACCCAATCCCTCTCACAGATTTCAGCTAGTTCCCAGCTTTGAGGACTGTCTTGCTTTGCCCATAGCTCACATCTGGGGTTTTTAAGCTGAAGTGTTAAAAAGGTTAATAAATGATCCAATGATGTCAGCTTTTCTATCCCATAGTCCTCATGCTCTGAAATCTCTCCCTGATCTTGATAGGAATTTGGCTTGCACAAGAACAGCAAATTTGCAGCTCAGAAAGGTGAATAAATGTAGCACTTTTAAAACCAAAACACTGTTCGGAAAAAGTCCAGCCTACAAAATCATCTTCAATGCCCTGAGAAGGGCAAAGAACACAAATCTTGGCATCTATCTTGCTCTTTATTTGGAATAATCTTTTAGTAATTCTGATCCAAGGGGAATGAGGGATTAGTTTTAGAGAGCTGGCCAGTACAACCCAACATCTGACTGAAAGAACTGATTGGAACAGGTTTGAAAAGGAACAACCATCTGCATCTTATGTACCACTCCAAACCTCTAAACCTACTGGGCAAACAGCATAGTGTAGACTCATTCTTATACATATTTAAACTTCGCTGAGGTATTTATTTTATTACAGAAAAGCAGTTTTAAAAACAATAGGAAAAAAACCTCAAAATATGAGTTATATTCTGCAGAGATTTTTGGGGAGAAGGAATTCAATTGTGTTGAAAGGACCATAATCCTTAAAGGAATAACCACTTTTAGTGTCAATAATATATTCTTCCTTGGCTTTTTATTCCTTCAAAACATTACAAAAAATGTAAGGCTGTGACTTTATAAAACATAATTTTGCCTCAACTTTGCCCACGGTGTTGTAAAATAACCTGAAATACTTCTGCCTTTTTCCTAGGGCAAACCTCTGCCAGTGTCCACCTTGATGGACCAGCTGTGGCCACACAGCTGTGGGGCCCCACTGGCCTCCTCCAGGACACGGGACAAGCCACACCTTGCACAAAAGCAAGATTCATGCATGCTGGCCAAAGTCAGGTTTCTTTCAGGTGGCAAAATGAACCGTAGTTCTTCTATTGAGTTTTAACATTATCTGATAACTTCTACCTGCAACTAACATTATTTCTCTACAATGAAGACACCTAGACTGTTGTACAAGCTGGATTTCTCACCCATAAATACTTTGGGAACCAGAGGAACGTGTACATCACATTTAGGATTTTTCCTAGGCAGACACTGTGTTTGAAGTGCATTTTTCTAACCCTTTTAGATCCAGTCAGCCTACCTTGATTGTGACACTAATGTTAAACGTAACTGCAGCCATTACCAAGTAGTTTCCGTAAGTGGTTTTATTACTGGTTAGATTTTACAAATTCTGGTATTCGAACAGACTTCGACCTTAAAATTCTAAAACAACAAAGCAACCAATGAAAGGCTTAGGACTATTCAAAGTAACAAACTCTTTAACATTTTTGCCCTGGTCATAAATATACAGAGAGAAAAAGAGAGAAGTGGACATGGAATCCAAAGAATGTAGATAAAACAGTATATAAGGCACATGGCAGTCTTTGAAAATACAGAAGCTTTAGCCAACTTAAATTAATTGCTGTTTCCCTTGCTCAGTCCACAAAACTGTACAGTTACACAAATGTTGTGTTGCAATAGATCTTCCAAGTTATTCTTCAGTCCATACTCCATAATACCAGAACACTACATTTCCTTCTGTTTTTTAGGAGAGATCCTAATTGTGGTTAGTCAGTTGCTCAAAGCCTCTATTAAAATACACTTGGAATTTCAGCTAAGAATAATTTCTTTTTTAAAGAAATTATTAAGAAAGAGTCATCAGAAAAGATTTGTAAGAGTTGTCTGTGAAGGACTTCGAGATTCATGAACCTCAAGACTTCCGGGCACTGATGTCAGGACCGACGTCACAGTTGGCATAGTGGGATTAGTCAAGTCTGTTAAAGTAGTGGGAGTGCTGGATGGACTCATGGAGGCATTGGATATTTCTGAGGCAGGACCTGAAGGGGTCCCTGCTTGGAGTGTTGAGTCTGAAGTCTTATCCACCCCTGTGTTTTCTTGACGTAAGAGGTTCCGTCTGAATTTGGCTCGAGCATTTTGAAACCAAACCTGAAACAGTTTAATATAACAGGGCAGCATTTAAAGACCTGCAGTGTTTAAAAATGCAAAAGCATATTCACAAATTCATCAATGCTGGAATTGGGAAAGACTTTTTTATTGGTAACATATTAGAAAAGCAGTCCTAGCCATGAGAAATGGCCTCTGCCTGCAGAACATTCCTTCTTCCCTGTCCTTCGATCCCTGCAAACAGTGTGCCCGGGCCAGGAGTGGGCTGAGGATGGAGGCTGGCAGGCTGACTGCACAAGGCATGTGAAAGGATGCTCAGAAATTTGGCAGCATGCAGAATCCTCGAGAGGCCCCGATCCCAGCAGCACTGGTCTGGGTGAGGCCAACACCACGCACCTGATGAACACAAAATTCCTTCTATCTCACATCCATCTCCCACCAAAGTGCTGCTGGCACAGCCCAGGGCACCCTGCCTTCCCACGGCTCCTGCTGCCCCAGGAGCTCCCTCACACCCCTGCAGTGCTCCCCTCCTTGGAAAGGACTGTCCTTCTTTCTTGCTCTTCTCTTATTCTTTCTCTAATGCTCCACCTTCCTTCACCTATGCCTGTTTCCTTTATCAAATGTTTTCAGCACTGCTATAATGTTGGGAAAAGGGACTGGAAAGGTATTAAAGACCTACATTACAACAAAAACTGTGATTTCAGTAGGAACAGCAGCCGCACAGAATTTTTTTCCCAAGGTTTCTACTTCTTGCATTCTTTGCTTATCGGGGTGAAGGACAGGGAAAGTGAGTGTGTGGGACTCCTGAGGACACAGCAGCCCGTGCAGAGATTCTGCTCCTGGCTCTGGAGGTGCCTGGCCCTGCGGCGGGACGGGCTCTGAGCCGAGGGCCGGGAGGAGGGAGGGACTGCAGCCCCAGCTGATGGACCTGCCTCGCCTGCCACACCTCTCTCCACCTTTCTTCACGTCTAGGGATGCTCCAGCTCCAAATTCCCCTTATCGAGCACTCTTCCTTCCTTGGAAAGCTCTCTCCCCCAGCCAAAGGTCTTTAATGTGCACGCCCTGTCTCTCACACTCTCTCCAGGGACTGCCACAAGGAAGTAATCCTCAGGCACAAATTCAAGGGCCATGCATAAATCACATCCCTACAGGTCCTTCTTTCTGAAAGCTCAGTATTTTAGACCAGTTTTTGTTGGCATTTGCTTTGTTAAAACACCTCATTTAAAGGCTGTTTATCAGTTTCATATACAAAAGTTCTCTTAAACCAGCACAGGTAAAAATATTCCCATGATTTCATCAGAGTCCAGTATAGCAGTGACCCTGCTACAGACCAGCAATGTGGTCAAAAAGGGGCAAACCCCAAAGTGATGTTTTTGCCTGACACGTTGCCAAGCAGAGTCCTCTCGTGGGACTGCTCAGAGCCCCCCTTGTGCAGGGGCTGTGGGTGAAGCCAATCACTTTGTTCTGGTCACTTAAACCACAAAGGCTCAAGCACCAACTGCTCAGGAGCAGCAAAAACAGCAACTGGAACTTTCATAGGACTTTTTACCTTTCAGATAGAAATAATTTCTATTTGTTCCACAAACTAATTTAGTGGTTGGTTTCTTTAAAATACCTTCTGGCAACTGTATAAAGGATAACAGCTGTGAAATGGAGTTTGGAGCTGGCTGCTCTCACTACGTGTGTTCATGTAGCCATGGCATAATTAAAACACAACAGACAAACCAGTTGGCCAGCTGTAGATACACCTACTTCTGCATAATTTCACATTTATGTTCATTAAAATACCCATCTTTTTATATTCATTAGTCCCAAATATGGGAAACATGACACTCTCCTAAATGTCCAGCTGCTCCTTAACCTTACCAGGGCAAGAGGGTCTATGGTACTCTTTGGAAGCATGTAGTATATAAAGTGAGAAAGATTCCTGATGTTTATGGATTTCCCTTCATCTTCCATTAATATGAAAACCTGAGCTCAGCTGCCCTTACCAATGACCACCCACACTGCTTTCAGGAGCAGCACATATAACATGGTTCATTGTCCCTTTTTTAGTAGCAATTCACGTTAGACATTGAAAATATCATATAATTCTGCAAGTATTATCTGAAAATAGAGATTATATGACTGCTTTTTACTTCCTTCCACACTGGAATATTGTCAAGGTTAATCATTTAATGGTTACAAGGCTCTTTAAAATTGTATGATAAAAAATATTTGTATTATTACTGAAAATACATCTAATTATTTGAATTCTGAAAACACCTTGTCTTATGATGGAAGGGATAACATTATTTCCTCCATTGTGACATTCTGGCATGTGCTTTAAATCTGACATCCTGAGCAAAGCCTGCGTGTTAGAGAGTGGTGAGAGAGGAGCAAGGCTGCTCCTGGGGCTGTCCCCAGGGCTGTCCCCTGCCCGTGGGGCTGTCCCCAGGGCTGTCCCCTGCCCGTGGGGCTGTCCCCTGCCCGTGGGGCTGTCCCCAGGGCTGTCCCCTGCCCGTGGGGCTGTTCCAGGGCTGTCCCCTGCCCGTGGGGCTGTCCCCAGGGCTGTCCCCTGCCCGTGGCCCTGGCCATGACCCCGGCAGGGACAGCAGCTGGGCTGTCCCCAGGGCTGTCCCCTGCCCGTGGGCAGCTCAGGCCGTGCACCTGAAGGGCATGGCAGAAATAACCACCCAGCCACACAGAACTGAAGAATCCTTCCAGAAGGACTTATCTCACATCAATTACACAATTCCTTCAGGACTGAGGAATAAACAAAATCATCGGGAAGCATTTAGTGGGTTTCTGTCCAACTGTATCAGCACAAGGCTGAGCTATTTCAAATCAAAGGGGGAAATACAGACCAAAACTCCCAGTGAAAAATGAAAAGCAGCTGCAAGACCAACCACTGCTGCTCCACACTCCGGTGAGCGGGGCTGCATGAGTGGAGCTGGGCACTCAGCAGTTAGGCAGAATAATATTTACTGAGGTGAAAAGATTGCACTCCCTCTTCAGTGATCTGTGGAACAAATTCTTTGTCTCCACCAAGTCAAATAGGAATGAAATAACATCTCCATATGATAAGGGAGTGTTGAAAATAAACACACTAAGTGTTGTGAGGGATTTGGATACTGAAATTAATGGGATCATCACCTTAGATAACTTTATTTTCTGGTTTGTAACACCTCCATTGCTGCATCTGTTACATATTAGCTGTGTGAACAGATTCTGCTGAAAACAAATTTTTAAACCAATTTTGCTCATTCACACAGCTACCTGGAGACATTTAGGTTCTCTGAATTTCACTAAGTAGTAAGTGGAGAAACAAAAGACAGAGGATGTAACACCACAAAGCAGACTGTGTTCATTCATTGCACACACATTGTGATGATTCTGCTGTAATTAATAACTGTTCAGTCAAAGAGATGTTTAATGAATGGGGGTTCAGGAAGAACCTGCAGCCTACAGCAAACCTTCCCTAAAGGGCAGCACAGGTCCCCACATGGGATGGAAATATTTTAGGCTTGTCTGCTACTGGAAACTGGACCAGCAGAGTCCAAATACATGCAGTGATTTCTGTAGGATTCTGGTAGTGACTTTACTGGGGACTGATTCAAGAAAAAATAAGTGGTGCACAAACACACACTGAAAAATGATGCTTTATGTTCCTGAAGTGCTTGGGCTGTGGATAATCTTATTCCAGACACCCAGGGAGAGAAGAGGTACATACCTATAGCTAACACACCACACCTCCTCAGGGCTATCTACTTTCACCTTCCTTTTCTAAACTCACAGAAAGAAAGATCAGTTCCCCAGAGAGCAGCATTTATGCCAGTTAGGTTAGTTAGCTCACAATTAGCTGGGGCTGTTAATTACTAATGATAGCACACAATAAAGAGCTTGTGTTCCCCAGCTGTAGTACAAGAGATATATGAATTAAATTGTAAATGTAAGCTTAAATTGGAAGGAAACAAAATAAAAATAGGTGTTAAAAACATAAATAAGTTTGCTATGGTTTGAATGTGGCTGCTTTGAGAGAACAGTGTGCATTACAGAGGTGTTGAAGGAAATGCACCCTGAGAAGCAGAGTGCTGCATTTCCAGCCATCCCACCCCTGGACATCTGCAGCTGGTCACAAATTGTTATAAAGCAAAGACATCAGTTAGGGCTTCCAACTCCAGTATCACAGAACATCAAAAAATCCTCAAATTCTCTGCTCCTCTACAAAGTCCCCTTGCTACATGACATGTGACACTGTCAGTAACCAACATCATGATGAGTTTTCCTAGCAAAGAGCAACCCTAAAACTCATACATGTGAACTCAGTTGTCACTCACAGGTAGAGATAAACCAACTGGGCAGAAAGGTTCTGAAACATACAAAATACAAGTTTGTGTTCTCATGGCCCAAATTAATTTTCAAACAAAACTTCCATGACTAGAGAGTGCTCATAAGAGGCAGGAAAACTCAAGTGATACCAGACAAAGTGTCACTCCATTTTCTAGAATTGCCTCCAACAGCATCATCCTCAGGGAACAATCCTCACCACCAACTATTGTCTTCCACCATGCTGCTAAAGGAGTCTGGACATAAAGGAGTATTTAACTCTGAAAGTAAAAGAAGTGAAACACCAAAGACCAAAATGATAACAAAACGTGGTGGAATTGTAAAGTTCTGCAACAAACAAAAGAAGAACCACAAAGCACCTTAAAACTGCAAATTGTGATGTGTGTAAGCCGAAATGAAGACACTGAAGCAAGGAAGAAACTGAAAGAGGAATAGAAGAGCAATGGGGTGAAGTCCAATTTTGGAGACAAAGAAATATGTTCTGAATAGGAAGAAACAGAGACAATAACTTGGAAAAAAAGATGGAAGGAAAGACCCATTCAGTGAAAAGAGAAGAGAGAGATGGAAACCAAAGTTGGTGTGGAGTGACAAGAGAGAAAGATAATGGAAAGACACTTCCTAGACACTGATGTGCCATTTCTCAGGTACTTCCTAGACACTGATGTGCCATTTCTCAGGTAATTCAGGTGCGAATTGTATTACCAAAGTGTCTAAATTCTGAGGGTGAATAGAGGAGAAGGGTCAGTCTAAGGATAGACCAGTGCAGTAAATTACTTCAGCCATGTGTGTGGTTTAAGGCCAGCTGCTGTGAGACACCACATCAGGTGCTGGGATGTTCACTCTGCCAGAGGAATCTGTTCCTGCACAGCAAATGAGGCTCAGAAGAACAAACCCAATCCAGCTGGGAGGACGTAGCCATGAGAAGTCACTACGTGCGGTTTGGCATTTTACTGGGAAGCCTACAAAGCCTTTGTTCCTTCTTCTGGTAGGTGTCAGCTCTGGAAGCTCCAGGGTCCCTCCAGTGAATTCAGTTTTCCTCAGCAGTTGTCTCCTGCCCTCCACTTGCCTGTGACTTGTGAGCTGTCCACGATGCTTCCCAGGATGGGGCTCGCAGCCCTACCTGTCTCTAGGAAGGTCACAAATCCTTTTTCTACAATTAAGACCCATTTAAAACGTTCTGCAATAAATCCTGGAATGTCATAGCTCCTATATGCCCAAGTTTATCTCTAGGTACAGGCATTTGAGTAAATGCTGATTAAAACTGACTTCTTGAGTCAGAACTGTAAATTAAAATGCAGCTGAATCAACTAATACCATTCCCTTTCCTTCCCACAATAGCTCAAATGGAGTGTGTTCCCATGAACAAGAAAAAGTACTTTTAAAATGCAGTTTCATTTCATTCTAAGTTACTAAACTATGAGTAAAAGTTTTTGAAAAATTTAATTTACGTCCACTTCAGTTATGAACGAAAAGCCGTCCTCCTTGTCCTGATGAAATGAATTAAAACTGTTGATTAATTTTTTACAAAGATAAGCATTGACAGGTTTTCTGAATTTCTAAACTAAAAGCTCTCTATGTACAGTGAGCACACTAACTAAAAGAAGTCACTTTTTTTGTAAAGCAGCCTGGAAGATAAAACATGCACCAGAATTAAAGAACTCCAGGAAAACAAGCAGGGCCCCAAACCTTCACAATTCTCATTAAATCTAGAACTCAAGTGATCTGCTTGAAAGAAACTGAAAAGAAATTAACTGTTCTCATACTTTCTGGGAATTAACTTAGTCTCAGAGAAGGTACGAATGATCAAGAATATCTTGAAAACCAGCCAAAGCCGTGGCTTTTTAAATATAAAATTGATATCTTGATTACTTTCCAAGGCAAAGGATGGCTCTTACCTGAAGAACTCTTTTGGTGAGGCCAGTTTTCTGAGCTAGCTGTTTCAAGTCCTTGGCATCAGGATTGTGGTTAATAGCAAAGTATGACTTCATTGTCCGCAGCTGGTGGTGCTTGAAGGACGTCCTCATGCGCTTTGTTTTCTGATTGCTGGGGTACTGCTGGTCTCTGTCCAGGTGGTCACCATCGTTCTCATTGCAACTTAAAGCTTAAGGCAACAAGAGGAAAAGACCTGTAAATCTCCTGCCACACCACGGCACGCACTGGCACAAGCCCTACCTGCCTTTGCTCCATTTCATGGATTTGTAGGGCAGTTCAGTTTGGAAAAGCCCTCTGAGGCCACTGTGTCCTCGGGTTAACACAGCGCTGCCAAGGCCACCACTAACCCGTGTCCCCAGGTGCCACATCCACACGGCTTTGACGTCCCTCCAAGGATAGGAGCTTCACCTCTGCTTTTGGGGAAGTTTCCTGATATCCAACCTGACCCTCCCCTGGCACAGCTCGAGGCCATTTCCGCTTGTCCTGTCCCTGTTCCCTGGAGCAGAGCCCGACCCCCCTGGGTGTCCCCTCCTGTCAGGAGCTGTGCAGAGCCACAAGGTCCCCCCTGAGCCTCCTTTTCTCCAGGCTGAGCCCCTTCCCAGCTCCCTCAGCCTCTCCTGGAGCTCCATTCCCTTCCCAGCTCCCTGGACACGCTCCAGCCCCTCGGTTCTCTCCTGCCATGAGTGGCCCAGAGCTGCCCAGCACTGGAGGTGCCCCAGCAGTGCCAGCCCTGGGGCCAGCACAGCCCGGGGGCCGTTGGCCTCTTGCCCACCTGGGCACAGCTGGATCACATTTTGCACCTTCCAGCCCTTCCCTTACAATAACCAGCCTGCAAGGACCCTGGCCTTCGCCTCTGTGGCTTTAAAATGTCAGCTCTGTTTCCTTTCCCCTCTGCCCCACCTCCACAGAACTTTTCCTCCACTTTCTGTGGGAGAACAGTAGCTGTCCTCAGCTCTGGAAAGGGTTTTACTGTACTTGGTGTCACCATAAATTGCATGTAACACACAAAGAGAGCTGCACAATACACTCCAGTTAAATCTCACTGGAACAGACTAGTTAAAATCATAATTATTTCCTCCATCAAACTAAACCCTGTAGAGTACAAGGGAGACCATTAAATGAAACACTATAAAAGAAATAAAGTTTGTGGCTACCAGACAGCAAATTATGACTATAATCTGACTAGCTAAAGAAATAAAGCCGTTAATACAACATATTCACTGGCATGCCAAATGAAAAATCTTTTTAATTATTTATATGTTTATGTTTCAATTTTTTTTAAAAAGTGTTTGCAAATACTGGTTTGAATTATCACTTCTGCCATATCCTTTTGAAAACGAGGAATGACATTGTTTGATACACTTACAGAAATCAAGCTCAAGAAGATCTGTGAGAAAAGAACACTGTAAAAATTATCAAGTAGTATTAAATATTGAATGCCAAGCAAAATCATCCTGTAGACCAAAAGTAGTTTTTCATTTATTTGTGCATAGAGTAAACCATAGAAACCCTCTTAAATAACATTAAGAACTGACCTTAAATACAATAAAAAATTAGGAATATATCTGAAAATTAGTATTGACAAACTGTTGTTAATCAGCTTTTCCTGTCCAAATATCTACAAGACCCTCTTAATTTCCTACAAGTGTTATGCTAAAAGTAATGAAAAATGCGAAAAATTACCAAAAAATTCTTTTGTACAGGAATTGTTGGTAAGTTTCTGAAATGCATGAACAGGCTTGTTTTCAATTGTCCACCACTGCTGTTTAATTACAACTGAGTACATCTCACACACCTATCTGTACACGTTACTTGAATTCATTGTCCATCAGTGGGTCTCAGCCCTAGTGAAAACCCACACATTCTGAGAGCCATGTATTAAAAACAGATTTAAAAAATACATGGATAATAAAATGCACAGATTCCTCAGTAAAGATGCATGCAGGTTCCCTAAGCAGGTTTGCAATAGCTACAGCAGCTGCTCTACACACCTCAGCCTTTCAAAACCTGCTAAAAAGCTGTGGCACAATACAGAGCAAGGCCTGCAAAAATTCAGCTCTAAGTCCAAAAGCACGTTTGTTTAACAGATATGCTCAAAGTGTCCAAAGCCTCAAAGTTTTCTGTGTGTTTCTGTACTCCTATAATTTAAAAAGCAGCTAAAAAAAAGGTACTGTATATAGAAATGTGAGTGTCTGTGTGCGTGTGTGCGTGCATGTGCATACATTTGTATAAATCCTTTCCAGACCTCTGGATCTTGTGCCAAATTTTGGCCATAAGAAGCATTTCTGCTTGTTTTCCTACAGCATGGAAAACTGCAAGCACCTGAATTTAAAAGGTGTAAGATACTTAGAGGGAGAGAGCAACAATGGAGTAGTAATGGAGCTGTTTGGGATGTAGCCAAATCTTTTTGGGTTTAAGATCTGGGACCTAGTTGCCCATCTGGAGTCATGGCATGTGCTCCAGTCTCCTTCATAGCCACAATTCCTGATATAAAGAACACGGGGATAAATAACATAATAATGCTCACATAAAATTCTGTTATGGAAATGTAAAACCAAATCAAGCTTGTTTTTAAAATGTACCCAAAGAATTTTAGATATTAGTAATGGAAAAGACCTTTGTGCATCATCTTAGAGGCTTTTGAACCCTCCAAGGAACAGCAAGACAGACATAGGAGGAAATGCATCAAAATATCTGTCTGCAGGACTGAGGTCTGGTTCCTGTTAATATGCAACAAAACAAAGCCTAGGGCTGCAAGGAGCTGGATTTTAATGTGTCCCGTAGAGAATGAGATACATTCAGAATCCAAGGATATAAAACTGATTCTAAACCCTCCCAGAATGGAATGAGGGTGTCAGCTTTTCATCAAGCCCTGATGGGAAAAGGAACAACTTACTCTGGGAATTTCTCATGGTTTTACCTCATTATCTACTAAGTAAAAATAATATTAAAATGCCAGTAAACATGTACCATTTGAGAGTGGCAAAATGTCCTTGCCTACGATGGAAGTTGCAGAACAGATTTTGAACGTGCGTGAGGGCGTGTGCCGTTCTCTGCCTTGTGCAAGTGGTTTGGCTACTCCCAGGCATCACCCAATATGACATAAATAGTCCTAGCTGGTGCCAATTCCCCTCTTGTATTTGGTTGTGGTGCCTGGCACCATCCTCAACAGGCTATTTTACTCAGTCTAATATTATCTGCATCTCTCACAGAATGTGCAGTGTCCATGGGTGTTGCAGGCACAGATACACAGAACGGGCCAAGGGTGTAAGTGGAGATTTTAAGAGCTCAGGAGTTTCTGCAAAAGGCACCAGGGTGTAAAACTAACACTGTACATGCTCCTCACGCAACCCTCTGTTTTCCAGGCACTGTCTTCCCTGTTCTTTTGTGGTGTCCTGTGTGTCTCCCAAAGGAATTGCTGAACTATCCATATGTAACATTTCCATTCCATTGCAGTATCTCAGGCTCCTGCTGGGATTTCAGAAATACAATTGGTAGAATTCCAGTTGAATAGAGGAGCCTTAAATTAATGAATGTTTCACTTCTATTTTTTGATAAAACAAATTCTGAAGCAGTGCCAAGTCTCTTTTTTGACCCTAGAACATTTCTAAGGTCCTGTGCCTTTCCCCAGACCCCACACCCAAGTCACTGCCCTCCCCCCAGTGGCTGCACAACACCCTCAGCCCCATAGAGACCACCTGGTCACAGGATGGTGATGTCCACAGGCAGCATCACTACATCCCTACAGATTAAGAGGAAACGTTTTGATATTGGTAGCCAAAATACCCTTTGCAGATTAATGCATAACACCTCCCTAAACCCAACAACAGGAGCATAGATATTGGTAGCCAAAATACCCTTTGCAGATTAATGCATAACACAGGAGCATGAAGCAGGCTGTGCTGGTGCTTTTGTAACACAGTCTGTTAGAGGAGGAGAACTTGGGAACACTGCTTCACCCTCAGATCACCAGAGCCCCCCATGGCTTGGGACTCGGGGCAAAGTGTGTGCTTAGCAGTTAGTAGGTTGCTAAGGATATGGCACATGAAGATGAGAAAGAGAAATTTCCTGTGGGGGAAATTTTGTTCTTAGTAGCTTGTGCTTGACATGTTAGATTATGCCAAAAGAAAGAAAACTAATCCTGATTCTGAAAGAGTGATGAAACAGGAGACACGTTGTGTGTGCATTATCTCTCAGTAGTGGCTCAGGAACATACACCCCTTTCCTTCTGTAATCGGAGTCAAGGGGGTGTTTTAACCTCCTGCTGCCTGGAGAGGGAACTTGTGATTAACTAGACCAGGCAGGGGTGCAGCCGCATTTGTTGTTTGGTCGGAGCGTGTAGAGGACTTTGTGGTACCCTTATCCTCAAAGGGGACAGAAGTGAGACAGAGCCCTCAGAGTGGTACCTGGGACAGGAACAGACATAGTCTTTCTCTTTGGGGGCAGGAGAAGACACATAGAGAAGGCAGATTCCTGAAATTCTCACCACAGGCATTAAAAGAGGTGAAGCTGTGGCACTGGGAGCAGGCAAGGTACCACTGGCTGCTTCTGAGGTGCCTGGCAGCACTGAAAGGAGCCTGTCTCTGCCAAGCCATGGAGCAACAGACCCAACAGCGCTGCCTCAACCTTGACATTTCAAGAAGTGTTTCTGAGGAGATAAAGCCAGTGAGAGTCTTAAGGAGCCCAGGCCGAGCATCACAAGGCCAGGACGGAGGAGAGCAGGATTAGAAGCCCTCTTCCTCCGGCCTTCCCCGGGCGTCTCGGACAAAGGGGCTGCGCGTCCCGGTGCCCCCCGGGGCTGCCTGAGGCCCGGGCCCCGCGGCCGCGGTGCCCCCGGGGGGAGCGGGCCGGGCCGGGGCTGCGGGGCGGGAGAACAAAGGGGCCGGGAGGGGCGGCCGGGCCCGGGCCCCGCGGGAGGAACCGCCGCCAGGGTTTTTCCCCTCAATTAAGCCAGTTGAATGGCGCTGAATGGCCGGTGCGAGTGCGCGGTCAGTCCCTGAGCGCCGCGATTAACCCGGGCAGCCCCGGCCGAGCCGGGCTCCTCGCTGCAGCCCCGCCGGGGGAAGGGGCTGGAGCGGGGCTGCAGCGGCTCCGCTGCCCGGCCCTGCCCGGGGACCCTGCCCCGGCCCCGACCCCAGCCCCAGCCCCCTGGGGAGGGGCCAGATGCGCCCGGGGACCCGAAAGGTGATCACAGCCAGGGAGGAGGGAGAGAAGGGGGAGAAGCAAGAAGAGGGGTGAAAAGGGGTAAACCCCATTTTTTTCCTAGGAAATCTCTGCAAGACATCCGATTTTAAGCCGCGATTCCCTTATGCTCGCTCTGTCACCGTAGTCACAAGGAAGCTTCTTGTGAGCTTTTAGTCCCAAGAGAAACAAGGAAGAAAGAGGGATTCGCTCTTCAAAACTTTCCAGGTTTTTCGCATTTTTGTCAGGAAAAAAAAAAAAAAAAACAAAAAAAAACCAACAAAAAAACAAAACAAAAAACACCCAAACCGCTTTTGACACAGCCACTTGAGAGGGTCAGCTCCAGGCGTCCCCGGCGCTGCCCCGAGCCCTGCCGGGAGCTGGGTCGGCGCCTCCGCAGCCTCCCCTCCCCCGGCAAAAAGCAGCCCTCAGCCCCAATTCCCCTCCCCGAGGACGCCTATCCCGCCTGGATATTCCCTCACCCTCCCAGCGAAGCACGAGGCATCTTCCTGCTAGCAAAGGAAGGAAGTGTTTCTTAATATCTTGGCTGTTTGTACAGATTATGGGTATTTTATCAGCCCGTCGTGCCCCAAGTTTGCGCAATACATCTGTCATTTTCCAGGATATTTTAGTGTCTTAAAGCCAGACTAGATACAAATGAATAAAACATAGCAGACTGTGGGAGGTTTGGGGTCTAATTCACAAAGGGAGTATTCAGAATTCTTTACAGGTGCTTCTGTGTTCAGCAAGCTTTCAGCCATTGATTTACTGACCTAAAAAACCCATCAAACTCCATTCCAACAAGTGAAGGAGGAAATTATGATCAGAGAAACACACTTAAAAAAAAAAAAAAAGAGAGAGAGAGAAAAGAAAGAAAAAGAAGTCTTTTTGAAGTTTTCAGCATCCTTCTAAGCTATTTTCCACTTGTCAGGCTCTATCCACATCTAAACCCATCACCCCCCTGCAAACGGAGTCTCCTTTAAGTAGGAAAAAAAAAAAAAAGTCAGTCTAATTCGTGTTGCAGATGAGTATTTGCTGCAATTTACAAAATTATTTCAGTCTCGACTCTGCCAAGTTTATGGGTCCCCCTTTTCCCACCACCTCTGGGTGTAGATTTATTTACACAAAGTATTCTACACAAATCACCAGGAACAGATCCCCTCAGAGGACAACATTGTGCATTTGTAGTGCATTTCCGAGAAGGAAATGACAAGTTCCACTAAAAATAAAAAGAGAAACTATCACATTTCTAGATGGTTTATCTTTTAAAGGCACAAAATCCAACGCTTTGCAGTAATTTACTCGTTTGTGGAATTTTACATCAACGAGCAACCCAGTCTGATTTCCAAGATCAATGGCACTTATTACCGCATAAATTAGTCGATTATAGGTCTAGTAAATAGTTAAGTAGATAAATAGCTTAAGCGAAGAAGCCAAAGGTTACTCAAAGAAGATCTCTAAAGTTTCAGTTGCACGCTCTAAACAACGATTAAAAGTCGGACGGCAATTATTTTGTAAACGAATTTTTCAAAATGCAGTTAAAGGCGGTTTATTTAGGAAGTCAGGGAGCAGTGAGACTTTCTCAGGCTGTGCTCCCATCCAGGACAGATGCCGCTGATTCGGTTTACAGGTCCTTTGAATCTGAACATCTGCCCTGCACAGGGAGACAGCGGAAGGACAATTAAAAGCTAATCCCTCCGAAAAGGAGACTTTTTTAACGGGAAAAATGCATATTTGATGCATGTTTTAAAGCTGAACTGTTACTCGCGAGAACACTACATCCACCTTTCATCAACCTTCACCACTGGGACTACTACTGCTTTTTGCACTACTTCCAAATTATTCAGCAATTAGTACAACCAATAATAGCTGGCAAACTTGTTCCCGAGGTGCGTTTGCCGGTTAGAGATGCGCCTTTTCTCCCTGCCATTTTCAGTGCAAACCACCCCATTTCGTCGCTATTGTTACTCCCTTCAGGCGCAAAGCACCCGTAGCCCCCGTTCCCGAGCTGCCTCCCCCGGCCCGAAGCCCGAGCTCCTCGGCACCCCTGCACTTCTCGGTGTCCCCCCCGCGCCTTCCTCCCCCCGTTCCTCCTCCTCCTCCCAGGCAGGCGGAGCGGCAGCCGCCCGGCGCAGCCCGCAGCTGTCGGGGCGCGCAGAGATGCGGCTCGAAACAAACCGCAGCAAACTTGGCCTTCACCGAACGCCCTCTCCGGGAAAGAAGAACACGTTAAAGGGTCCCTGTGCCTGTCCCTGTGCCCTAGGGGACAGGTCCGAAGCAGGTAGGCTAAAAGAGAAAACAGGCTGGGACGAGCGCAGACGCACAGAGGGCACCGAGGCACAGAACGACGCCGGGAAACGAGTTCGGTGCCCAGGGTCTGGCGGGACGGCCGGGGCGCCCGGCTCGGGAAACGCCGGACTGGGGGAAGCCCACCTCCGCCTCCAAGCCCTCGAATAAAACCAACATCTAAGAATTTTGTTTTGTCCAAGCATTTTTTTTCCCCCCGTTGCATACAAGCAGCAGCACAGGAAGCCCCCGGGGTGGCAGCCGTTCTGGTGGCAGCTACACGGAGAAGTGGAGCCAGGGGCAGAGGGGAGCGGGGATGGGGGGGAGGGGGGCAGGAGGTTGCTCGAATTCCTTTGCCTGTAAAATTACAGTGCTGTGGCGGTGGGGAGGTTAAACGAGGAAACACGCCTGAAAGTTTGCCGCTGGATCCAGAGAGCCCCGGCTCGCTCCCGTTCCTCCTGCTGCTGGGCTCGGTTCAGGGGCAGGGGCTGTGCCGCGGGGCAGCGATGGGCTGCAGGGAGGATGCTGCGAGTTTCCCGACCCTTCCCCGAGTCACCTCTCAGGAACAAAACTCCAGCGGAACTTGCCCGCGTGTGATCAGGCTCTGTGCTGCCCGCAGACACCTGCTGCCCGCGGCCCCTGCCCGGGCACTGCCAGCCCTGCACCCCCGTGCGCCCCCCAACCCAGCCCTTGGGAAACGGCCACTTCCCCTCTCTCTTTCCTTCCAAAGCTTTGGGGTGCAAGAGCTCAGGACAGGGCTGAACAGTTCACCCCTCAGCAGCTTTAGAGTGTAGCCACCAAAGAAAATTCACGGGCCTCTGAAGTGCTAACTTAAAATCTCTGGTTTCCAGATTTTATTTCAGGCTGCACTCCCCCTTCTTCCCCCCCTTAACCAGATGACCTTGCTTCAAAACATTTTATTTCCAGCTGAAGTGAAAAATGCTAACATATTAGCTTCTGTAATTGCAGTTTGACAGCACTTGATCTCAATAATTATGCTGCAGCTAAACTATTATTAACAGTTTAAGCTAAAATAAACGGAAATCCCCCTTTGGAAGTGAACAGAAACAGACCATTTGAACTGTTCTGGGGGAAGGGTCTCTTACCTGCATTGTAGGCTGCCAGATCTGCTCCAGGCCCCGGGCTTTTTCTTTTCCTGGGTCTCCCCTTCTGGACAGTCCCCACGCCATTGTAATAAGGCAGTCCCAAAGTGTTGGCAGAGCCCGCTCCCAAAGCCGGGCCCTTCCCAGCGGCTACATCCGAGTGATTGAAATGCACCTGGTACTCCCCCTGGATGAGAGTCTCGAAATGGAGGCGGCAGTACACCAGATTGTCCTTCATGCCAAAGTGATCGCCAGTGGTCAGCATCTTGTTGCAAGTGGTGCAAGTGAAGCAGTTTAAGTGATATACCAAATCCCTGGCCCTCATGACCATCTCGGAGGCAGAAATCCCCAGGTGACATCTCGCACATCTCTGCACCGAAAACCTCCTGCAAAACAGAAAGGCCAGAGGAGACGGTGAGAGGCGCATTCCCCCCCACCCCGTCCTTCATCGGTTCTGCCCGGAGGGCGGCAAAGGGCTGCGAGCCCCGGGACGGCCACCTCGGCCGGGGCAGCGGCACAAAGCCGGGACCTTTGCGGAGCTCAGCCGTGCGCGCATCCCGGGACGGAAGCGCCGGGAGTCTCCGTCCCCTTTCCCATCTCGCAGCTCAGCTCCCGCCCCGCCAGACCCCACCAGGAAAAGGCTCCGACCCCCGGCCCGCGAATGGGCCCTCACCCCCGGGCAGGAGGCACCGCCGGCGGGCGAGGAGCGGCCCCGCTGCGGGCCCCGGCCCCGCGCCCCGCGCCCGGCGCAGGAGGCCGAGCAGGGCACGCCTGGTGAAGGCCCCAGTAGCCAAAGCAGGCGGAGGGGAAGCTGTGCCCGGGCCGTGCCCCCCTTTCGGCAATACGGGACTCATCCTCACCACGAGTCTCCGTCCCCAGGGCGAGGTTTTAGGAGCTCACAGCCTGCCCCACGCGTGCCCGCGGATCCCCTCCGCAGTCTCGCCAGGACGGGGTCTGCTCAGCGGGGGGAGCGGCGGGCAGTGTCCCCGTCCCCGGCTGGCGGCCGAGGGCAGGCTGTACCTGTAATAGTCCTCCTTGCAGTAGATGCTGCCGTCCTTGCTGAAGCAGGTGAGCTCGGACTCCAGGTTGAGTTTACATTCACAGCACTTCAGGCAGCGCATGTGCCACTGTTTGTCCACAGCCAGGAGGTAATAACGGTCCGAGATTTTACCCCCGCAGCCGGCGCACAGGGCAGCCCTGTCACTGCTGATGGAAGGCATGGTCTGCTGGGGGAAAACAATTACAGACCGTTAGCGAGAGGGAGAAACTCTTGAGCACGGCTGAGCTCTCCCCTCCCCCTGCCCGGCCGGGGCCGAGCTGCTGCTCCCCTGGCAGAGCAGCGGGGGCTGCCAGCCGGCCACCCCGACCGGCCCCCGCGCCCGCTCCCCAGGGTCCCGCCGCATCCCACCTTCCCGGGAGGAGGCGGGGAAGCGGGCGAGACAAACAGAAAACCACCCTGGCTTTTAGGGGAGGCGTGCAGACCAGACCCAGAACTTTTTTTTTTTTTTTTTTCTGGTGGATTTTCCAGTCTCGAACCAAGAAAAGACGCTGTTCAATAAACAGGCGCAATAATAATAGAGTAGGGCAAATCACAGATAGTTCATTTTAAAATTCAGAATTACGGATATACTGAGAGTGTCTGCATAGTTAATGCTGTGTGAGTGCGTGTATGTGGAGCGTGTCTGTGTGTATATTTTCCTAGCTATAAAATTCCGAATGAATTACGATCAAACCCCCAGTAGTCACAGTGCTGCAGACACAGCTCTCTGCAAGCTGGTTCCAAACAACACGGATCGCGATCTGCTGTGACCCAAAGCGCTAAAGGGATCAGTAAATAAAGCTGCGGAGGAGATGAGCGTTACGAAATGCGAGGTGCAGAATGTTTAATCGGGAAAACGAAATAGTGGGAAACGTGCAGGAATGAGAGCGGGTTAAAACCAACAGAGCACATTAGATTATGCTAGGATAAACTTGGAAGCAATAAAACTAAATATAAGCCCTATATAATTTAATAGTTTAGTGTCAAATCGCAATCCAATCGAAACCCTCAAAAACCCCCAAATTCACACATATCCTGTCAACTGCTACAGAACAAGAAAGAGGGAGAAATATCGGAACCGTTTAAGCATGCTTATTTATTTCAGCAGGCACCTTAAAACAGCATTCGGGAGAGGAAGCTCGGGTGGAGCAGCGTCTGGGGCAGACCTTGCAATGTGCTGCTTTCCACTTCGGTCCCAACTTACTCTTACCCGCTTTGCACAAAAGCCCACGGCAGATCTGTTCTTGTGCACGAGAACCCGAAACATTTCCTTACAGCTGTGCCCAACACGCAGTTTGTTTTGATTCGGGGCGGGGGAGAAGTTGTTTGTTTGCTTTTACCTCCTCTAGAGCCTTAAATCCTCGCGCAAAGCAAAAGCAAAGACAGCTAATCGGAGGAAATCGAAAGAAACCGAGGCTGATTTTCCAGCACATGCCAAACCCATTGCTTTCATCCTGTGCTTGCGGGGATCACAAAATCCCATGTCCGTGAGCGCTCCCGTTTGCACCGCATCATTCCCACTAGGAGAACTCCACACAAATAAAACCCTGGCACTCCACTGGTGTTAGTCACAGGAACCCACCGGCAGCTTGTTTCTTTAAGGCATTAACTGAACTCCGAGTAGGGATCGTTTTATAACCAAAATAGTTTCTTGTAAATCCACTTTAAATGAAATAACGATTTTTTCTACTTTGTTCTTCCAGGAACAAAAATATTCTGCGGTCTAGAAATGGTATTCAATGATCCAGTATTCCAACCCACTATTTGTTACATACACACGTGTATCCATATAGATTATATACAGTTACACAAAACTATCACGCCACAATATTTATTCCAACAGAGATCATTGGATGTTGTTTAACTGTACGGAGAAATACTAACTTTTTAAAAGAAAACCAAAACCGTTTAGATTAGAAATCGCATCCCACCCTTCTAGTACAAAGGCCGTTTTCCAAACGGTGTTTCAAGATTAAATAGTCTCGTTGTCACCTTTAAGCAAATTTCATATAACATTACAAGAAAGAACACATACTGATGAAGTTTGAAAACCTGAGAACGGATCTTCCTTGCATATGCCTGTATCAGTTTACAAGACGTAATTTAACCAATGTACGAGATAATTTCACTTCAGAATTGTAATTTCTTTTAAAAAATAGTATACATAAATTGTTAAATCACTTAAGACACTTCGAAAATTTCTTCCACTTTGCCAGCTTAACTCTAGTGAGACGGATGCATCTTTTTATTATCTAAATGTATTAATATACAAGGTCTACGTATCAGCAGACAAAATGAAATGTGGTAAAGTTATAAAAATTCCCATCCATCCGTCTCCCTGAGACATATCTTCTAGTTCTGTTTGCCATGATTACAAACCCACATATTAAAATTATTTTTAAAAACCCATAACTTAAAGACACTCGTGTTTGGTTTTTTTTCTTCTTAAATAAATGCTATAAAGACTATCTCCATGAAGGCATCCTACCTGAAAAATAACACAGAATTGGATTCTTTGGTGTTTGTATTTCCATTCTGCAGACAAAAAAATTTGCTGTGCCAAAATGTTACTGGTATAAAACCACACTTTGCCTCTTCCTAAAAACTTTGGAAGGCCGGACAGGCTGGGGGAAGGGAAGGAGTTCTTGGACGCTACCAAAAGGCTGGTCTATCTGTTTTCTCACAAGAGCAGTACCGTTCATTTCACCCAAGCGTTACTATTACTATGCATATTATTAATAATTAACAGTTTCATGCCTTTCCCCACGGCTTCATTTAATCTTTTGGGGTGCCTTTATGCTTAATTTTCTTCTGATTTAGTATTTTGCATAGGCTTCCCCCCAATCTGGTATTTTAGGGGAAAAGCTGTATCTGTGAGGGGTTTGGTATGTTTAGGGGGTGCATGACTCTCCCATTCCTTCGGCTCCTACCGTTTCCGTCTCTCCCCTGTCTATAGCCGAGCTGATGGCCGGTGCTTCGCTTTTGGTTCTCCGATCCATCTCGTCGATGACCCCGTGCATCTCCGAGCCGGAAAGACTGTGGAAAAGCATCGCTGAGGAAGCAGAGGAGGAGGGCCCGAGTTGCTGTTGCTGCTGACAGTTGTCGGGGTCCCTGCAGGAGCCCAGAACTTGCATTAACCGGAGCCCTCCCCCATGCATCTAGCACGGCCGCCCCGTCTCTCCTTGGGCACCGGGCTTTTCCCCGGCAGAGCTCTCCGGAGCGCGGCGCAGGCACTGATCCGAGGTTTCAAGGGATGGGGTGCAGAAAAGGCGGGCGGAGGGGATGAGGGAGAGGGGATAACTGGTGGTGTGAGCTTCGGGGCTTGGATCTAGTCTGTTGCGCGGCCCCGGCACATCTCTCTAGGAGGCTTCTTCAGTGCAGGGCTCATTGCCCCAGGTGCAGTCCCAGGCTTTATGCTCTGGCCCAGCTGGCAGAAGGCTGGGCAGGCTTACGGTTGGGAGGGATTAATAAATAGTAGAAATATATATAAAAAAAAAAATTAAACCATCTTCGGTGAGAAATAAATAAGAATTAGAAAAAAAAAAATTACAAGCCCCTTACATCGTACTGTGCGAAATTTAGAGGAGGAAAGCAAGGGAGAGGGAGGCTACAGCAGGCGGAGAGCAGGCTGGTGCTGCAGGGAGGCTGGGGCGGATGCCCACCGTACGCACTCACAGTCCAGAGGGCTGGCAGCGGCGGCAGCTCAGGGGCAAAGTTTGCTCCTTCCCCCGCTCCTCCCCCAGCCCGCTGGAGCTCATTGGGAAAAGAAAAAGCCAAGGGGAAGGAGGAAGAGTTGGACGGGCACCAGATGGGACGGGCACTCGCGGCCCCCCTCTGTCCTTAAAGCGGCGCGGCCCGCGGGGCCCGGGGCGGGAGCGCAGCCGGAGCCGGAGCCGCCGCGGAGCTGCGAGCGGCGCGTCTGCAGCGCGGGGACCGCGCGGGGCTCCGCGCCTTTTCTACAGCCCCTCTGACATCATGTCCTGCCCCGCCGCCATTGGCTGCGCCGCGCCCGGGCCGCCGGCATGTGCTCGGGGCCGGGCGGTGTCCCCGCGCTGTCCCCGCGCTGGCCCCGCGCTGGCCCCGCGCTGTCCCCGCGCTGGCCCGGCCGCCCGGGCACCGCGAGCGCTGCCGCGTCCCGCTCGCTCCGCGGCCTCGGGAGCGGCCCGGCCCCGCGCGGAGCTTGGCGTTTGTCGCCCGGTGACCGTCGGCGACGTGTCGGGCCATGGCGCGCCGAAGAGGCTGTGGGCACGGCTCCTCCAGTGCGCGAGAAGGAGGCGTTCTAGAGGATATTTCGCCATTCCCCAAACATTTACGACCAGTTGAATGCACCCAATAACTCTCGTTATGAAAAATATTCTCTGTTAGAATATAATAACTCGAGTCGCTCCAGTTTGTGGAGTCTTCCACAAACCAAGGCCTCTTGCATCTCTCGTTTCCAAGTAGACTGTAAGAAAACCAGGCCAGGAAGGTCCCTGAACTTGAGGAAAAGCTTCTGAAACTCTCCAGGAAAAACAAAGGGTGCACAGGGAGGCTGTTCATGATGTCTAAATATTTATCCAGGAGGTGGGTAGTAAGGAAGGACTAATTAGTATTAAAGATGTCAAATATCGCACTTCTAATTATGTTAGCAAAGGTAGCACAACGGAAGGTAAATCTGAATGCACATCTGAGATCATGAGACTCGCTGCCTCATCCGTGACTATGAATTATTACATCACTCTGCTCATTCCCATCAGATGTTTTTTTCTGACAGCGATTTGCCTCTTACAGGTGTAGTGCAGTTAAGATTATCCTTGCTAAAACTGGAATTCTTCCGTTTACAGCCCAACTTTGCTGGGTTTATACATTCCATTCTGATGCTTTTTATCATCTTTCTGTTGGGATTGCTCTGAGTAGTTAAAGTCATTTGCATGTCACAGAGGAGAACAAAGTGTCTCTTGTAGAAATGCACATGAAATAGCCACAAGACCCCTCAAGAAACCATACAGAATGCAAGCTAATTTGGCATCTGTGGGAGCTATCCAAAGTCTGTCCTAAAATCAGACCTTGGAAACAATGGAAGTTCATGTTTGAATTCAGATTAAATCCTGCAGGACCATTAGTGGCTCTGTATAGTATTTATCTTTATAAAACCTTCTTTCCCTTCCTCCGTGCAGTTGTGAGACGTTTTCAAGCCCCGTCTGTGCGGGGAGCTTTGCCTCCAGGAGCAGCTGTGGATCATTGCTCACTGGACACCACGGACCCCGTGGTGGGACAGCACTGGCTCACCTTTGCTCAAGCAATGCTGCAGATATCCTTCTCACAGCTGTGCTATCCTCTGCTTGTAACAGCAGATTAATTTCCTATCACTGAATTGATTACGTACTTTTTGCAGTCAAGAAAGGTCATGGATTTGTACACTCTATCAGACATTGCTAATTATCAAAAAGATTTTAGGTATTTAACAGAATTAAAGTACAGTATTTCATGTTACAGAATTGCCTCAGTGGATGGAACCAATAATACCAAGAGCAAGCTGAAAAAGTATGGCACGGCCTCCAGTTCACAGGGTATCTCTGATTATCTTCTAATGGATATACAAACACAAGAAGACATCCAACCCTTGCTACCAAAACACAAGGAGAGTAACAGAATGTAAACATAAAGCTGCTAATGTACACACTGACACATGAATGGCATTTACATTGTTCAGAATAAAATCAAGGATACTTTCAAATAATGAGCCACGGAAAAATTGCTGGAGCAAAATCGTCTTCAGAATGAAACGCAGGCTCATTTGAAATGAGAGTTTTTTAATTTAAAAAATGGTGCAGCTAATAATAAAGTCTTTTAACCTGTATTTTGTTATAGGTGACAGGTGAACAAATCACAGGTCTTGAGTTTCTCTACCCTGCCTCTCTTGGTAACGTCATCTCCAGTACCATCTGCTACCTACCAGACAAACAGACCAACCACATAATGAGGTACCAGCTTCCACCCAGCTACCGTGACTAAATCAGAACAAAAGATTCAACGCCTCCTTCAACAAAGGAACACAAGTCTAAGCTGTCTTTGCTAATTGCTGGGTTTCAGGTTGTCTGTTACAGATTTTAAGTGAGCTACAAACTTCCATCAAATACTTATAGCTGTTGGATAAAGATGCTAAGAATAAAAGATAAATGGAAGCAAAAGGTAAGAGAGAAGAGAAGAAAGCTTAGAAAATAAGCAACTACTTATGGTAATTTAAAGACTGTGGAATAATATAAACATGAAAGACCAGGGGGCAGAGTGATTGATATCTCATATGTTTTCGATGCCCCTACGGTTATTAGACTGCAATATACGGGAACATACAATAAACTATGAATTAAAATGTAATTGTAGCTTCAGGCATCTTCTTCATTGTCTGCTGTGGTGTTATGTCTTCATGCACCGTGATTGACAAGGTGTAATTAATCATCTTACTCAGTTGTAAATATGGGCACCCTTCACAGTAGGCATCAGGAAGTGTGTACCAGCAAAGGAAGCAATAGTTGACGCTGAGATACCATTAAATCAAAATCAGAACGCGTATATGTTCAGAAACGTGTGTTTGGTGTGATGCCGTTATCGTTTATTTCTAAAATACTGTACCAACAGATTTACTTGATTTGCAAGTTAACTACAACATTAACCGGTTTTATATATTTTGTCTCTTCTTCGTTTTTATAGGCAATGATGTTGTTCTCCTAAAATGTGAGCCAGTTTGCTTCCTGTCAGCAAGTGGAGCTCAGCTGGGCTCTTCCTCTCCCCAAGTTGCTGCAGACAGACCAGCAGCTCCATGGTCTCACTTGAAATGGTTCAGGCAAATTATTACTCCATTCATGGATCACCTTCTGCACTTCTTATATACTACGTTAGGCACTTTGGGTCATTTTAAAGTGAAAGAGAATAATGAAATTATCCTAACAAGCAACACTGTTCCATTTAAAAATAGGACATTTCTTGCCACCAGTGCTGTCCCCAAATTGTAAAGAATGTCTTTTAAAAGATTTTTTTTCAGTATTCCAGGATAGGAAACATGTTATATCTCTTTCCTTTTGTAAATGATTGCTATCCTTATCTAGTTAGTACAGAAATGGTGTCCGAGTCATGGGAAATTAAGTGGTTTGTCTCAGGAAAATTTGGTGGTATGCATGTTTTTGATGCACGTAGAGCTGTTGAATGAATAATTGGCCCCTATTTAATGTCCTCTGCTTTAAAGCTGTCTAGTACATTTGCTGTTTAAAAAAATGTCTTTCAAAGCTGTAAAATATGTAACAAAAAGAGGTTGCTCTCCCCGTTTTGACACGAACAAAGCCATACAGTGAGCTGCCCGAGGTACTTCCAGCATGGGACTAATTACAAATACAATCATAAATGGAAATTTTCAAAGTTTTCCAATTCTTTTTCTTTGCAATATCAGCTGATGAGTGTTTGATAAAAACAAGCAGTAAAAATATCAGTTCAGGAATTAGCTATTAAATATTAAGCCAAGCATTTTTCAGAGAGTATGGGATCTGTTGGATCTATAACTCCACCATTTACCCCTGATGGAGTGAGATCTCTGGCTGTCTTCAGAAGCAAACCCAGCTTAAAACAGGAGTGTACTCTCTAGAAGATGATCGACTAAGAGTGTGTTTTATTTTGATTTGAAAAACCGTCAATCACAGATAAAAAAGACCAAATACTATTATTATATCTACTAGCTAAATCTATTTGTCTGGTAAACCAGGCACATGCAGGAAAGAGAACAAATACAGTTTAAAAGGAAAATATTCTGAAGGTTTTGCCCAGATGTTGTGCTGAAATTGTTGTTCCCTGGTACAAGCAATTGATTTCAGAGGAAAATGCAAGCATGTATCTATAGATGTGAGAGAGAAATAAGATGTCCAAAGTCTCACATATTTCAGTTTATATAGCCACAGCTATTTAAACAATTCCAAAACTGCCTCTACGGGTGTCAAAGAGGGAGGGAAATCTTCAACCACATGATCTTCTCTCCAGAGTCCTGTTAAATCCACTGAACTTAAAACAGAACAAGAAGTGTGAAATATGGGTTTGAACATGTTATGTCAGAAATGTAAAGGTTGGAAGCCTTTTTAGTAACCGATATTAATATTGTATTAAATGTTATGAAAAGGTAGGTGTTGGAGAGAAGGGCTGGGCTCATGTGCAATTTTGTCAAGGT